AGCCAACTTAAATCTTGTCAGTGGTGGAAAATTTTTCTATGTTGTCCTAATAATACTCTCTAACTCATTTGACTGTTAATTTGTGTGCAATATCCTTGGGAACACTTGTCCTGAAAAAACTGGAAAACCTGACTGTGATGTTCAAGGTTAAACTCCCTCAGGTTTCTAAGACTAATGTTATGAAACTCAGCATTTCAGATGAGGAAGAATAAAAGCATTTGGAGGAAGAGATAGGTGCTAGTATTACTCTATACTTGGTTATCTTCTTTTCTCAGTCCTGTGGCAATTTAAAACCAAAATGCCTTCTGGAAACCCAGCTGTAGCACTGAGGTGTTCAAAACTACATGGAGGTACTTGGGGATTACTTTTACAGAGTCATAGGCCAACGTGGTTCTTTTCTCTGCCACTGTGCTGGCATCAGTTTCATGCCTGATTTGCTCCTTTAATAACAACTCTTTTCTTTTTCTTCTCTCCCACCCAGCTTCTTCCCTGGAATAGCGGGTGTTTCAGGCATTGCAGGAGTTAAACCAACCTCCTGCAGACATGGCAGACGAGGACCTTATTTTTCGTATGGAAGGCATTGATAATGCTGGATCGACTGCAGCCAGCTCTGGGAATTACCTGGATGCAGATAGTGATGATGAAGACCATTATTTTATCTGTCCAATAACTGATGATCCAGTGTCTAACAAGTCTGCCAATATCAAAGTAGACAATTATTATAGCAACTTAGCAAAAAGTGAGCAGTACAGTTCAAGCTCTTCTCCTAGAAGCTTTAGCTTTAAGGTAAGTATTGGCTCCAGCCTCCAGTAAGGTCTTGGTTTTACTTAGTTGGCATGAGATATTCTCTAACTGCTTCATCTCTTGTTACTAACACTTTTCTATGAAAATACACACCTATTTTTTCCAGACCTGCAGTTAATTCCACTAAGCCAATAGTCTGACACTGCCATGGAATTGCTTACTGTCCCTTTTGGTTCAGTGGGAGATCTTTGTCTATAAAGGTAGTGCAATCCAGGCAAGAGGTTTGCTGTCACTATGATGAAACCATTTACAAAGCAGCACGTTCACTGGAGGAGTCCAAAGATGATACACTTGTAAGCTAAATTGGAGCCTGTCAGAAGATAATTTATTATGGATTTTGCTAAGCTGGAATATTTTTAGTTGGAAAATAAAATTGTAAATTATAAAATTGTGATGGTAAGGTTTTATGTTATAATTCCGTCTCAGAGAGCTTTTAACACGTTGGCTCTCATGCTTGGGCATGAAGTGTCACACTGGCAGTAGCTCCTGGCAGTGTACTTGAGCAGTGTCTGAGCTCTTTGAGAAGAACAGCAGTCACAGCATTGCAGGGAGGTCAGAGGGGGCATGGTTGGTGCTTCCTTGGCAGTGTTTTTACTCTGCTTCCTTCACAGGAAGTGGAGCCTCAAGAGTGCAAATGACATCCACTCTGTAGATTAGCCATTCCAAATATACACCATTTGTGGTAAACTGGCATGTCTCTTAGATTCTGTCTAGGCTAGGATTTAATGTGTTTTATTAACACATTTCTTATTAGAAATATTAACATTTATTTAATAGACACTCTAAAATCTTGGTTATGCCTAATGCATGCTCTATTTGTGGGAATATACCAGGGGGTTATTTAGTCAGATAACATATTAAGTGATGTGTTAAAAGTGAAACTGGCTTGTCTGCAGTAAGATTTTTACTAGTGTAAGTTAATAGAAGCTTTAAAAGATGCATATTTCTAGGGAAGGTGAAGAGTAAAAGTTTAGTCTAGAAAGGGGGCAGATGTTAGTGTATGCTGTGCTGAACAAGTTAAGACCCGACAAGGAGCTTAGTCTTCATTTGTGCCTGCATTTTAGCATGTACTGAACACTTGCCTCTGGGTTTGCAGTGCAAGTTCTGAGTCATGTAGCCTGAGATAAAACTGATAAGGACTTAAGAAATTGCAATTATTTCTTCCCTCCTAAGCTATCATTTTGCTATTGCAGAATGTATGTGCCCATGCTTTGGTCTCCACAATGTCTAGTTTGGAAATGTACCTCACATCACAGATAAAACGCTGCGTGTTGAGATGTGGACAAACAAGTCTCCATCATCTGCTTAAGCTGCAGGAGTGGTGACTTCCAACAGAGTGAAGCAGACAGCCAGGACTGATGAGATCTTCAGCCCCCACAGTCTGGTCTGATCAGAGTCTACTGTCAGAACCCAGAGCTAGAGGCAGTGTGGGCCATTGAGAATGAAATACGAACACAGATAGAAAAGTTGCTGTTAACTCTCTGCCTTTAAACAGGACTCAGCAATGGTTAATTAGCTAGTTAAAAGGCAAGGCCCTTTTAATGCATGCTTTCCAATAAAAAAATTGCCAACTTACCTCAATAGGTTTGTTCACAGATGTTCTAACAATGAGCTTAAATTGGGAATGTAAATTGAAGAGTGGCTTTTAACTGGAAAAATATTTCAAAATTTCTTTTTCATTAACAAAGAGAACCAAGACTCTTTGTCAATCAGTTGTCTTATCACATGTGTTTTCCTACTTTCATGTCTCTCATGGATCCTTTAGAATGACACACAGGATCGTTCTAAGCATGGCTCTGTGGTTGACCATGGTCGGGTAGGTTAAAAAGAAAATGTCAACACCATACCTAATAGATGCATTATGATTTTTTAATTTGTTTTTCCCTTTATGGACTTCTTTTATTCATCGTTTTATTGTCTGTGAGAACTGCTTGACTCAGCCCATAAAAGTCATCAAGTCAAAACGACAATAGATACCTGTTAGATGAAATAATACCAATCTTTTGTTCTCTGCACTGGAATATCACTGTGTGGCAGCCACGTGCCTATAGCAGGAGAAAAATTGCACTGTGAGCACCATTTCCACAAAGTCTAACTTCTGTTTGTTTGGAGATTAGCACACAGCTTTTGTACAAAGCACCTCAGGGGGTCGAGCACAAGTAATTAACTCAAATCATTAGTCATGGACACAAATCACTTTTTGGAGAAGGCATCTACTCAAGAATGATTTGGCATAGATGATTGCCAAAGCAATTCTACTTGTTGCTGTCTCTCCCTGTTTCTGTCATATGTATGGAAGTTCCCAGGCCCATATTAAATTTTATCACATGACCTGAGGCAATTTCATTTTCTTATGAAAGATGTAGGAAATCCTTCTCAACACATACTTGACAGTTGCTTTATTTACTGTAGTATTGTGTTCATTTTGTGGTTTTATTGCCAGAAAGGGGAGCATTTACATGGTTAGGAAGGTGTGCAAAGTTACAGCTGAAATTCAATATAAACATGAATAATTTAGAAGCTCAGCTGCTTCAAAAACTTCCTTGATGTCATTGCTGACACAAATTTATACTCTTTTTTTTTTTTTAAAAAAAAAAGACTGATTTAGATTCCAGAGGAAAAAACATAAACTAAAACCCCAAAATGTCAAAAGCTACTCTTTTTGCACCCTTGAAATTCACTTGGAGAGGCAGTAACAATACATTTCTTTACTGATGGGGTGCAGAGTGCCTTTTCTCCTGCTCACCCTGCAGAAGGCATTTGGCACATCACAGGATCAGAAATACAGTGTAAAAAGAGGGAGATCAAAATGTTAAAAGTGTCCAAATTGGCTGGTAGAGAAAGAG